TGGAGAACTCTTACCTCACACTTTGCTTCCCTTGTGTGTCTTTGTGAACCCGTTTTCATTGCTGTGAGCCCCTTTAGGAGAAAATAATTGTCTAAAAAGTGGGATACAAATATAGGGCTGTATTCAGCTTACTCTTGGTAGACCCGCTGCTATTAGTGGCCATGACTACTACTCTGGAGTAAAAGGTTAGTTGAATCAGGTGTGGCCTGTCCATGAGGCAAGATTAGGTGACCACCTCAAGCAGCGAAAACCCACCAGGTAGCATTCCCGTGGGCGCTCTGCTGCCTCCAGAGAAGTGGCACCAGTTTCCGGTGAGATTTCATGAGATTTGGGCAAGATTTTCCCAGAAGCTGGCACTGCTGCCAGTGCTTCGTTGGCACTCCCACACAACACAGGTAAGACAGGCTTGTTGGGCTGTGGGGGCATGTTTCATTTCACCTCAAATGATGAAACTGGATGCTCTGCCCCTGAGCTGAATACAACCTCATAGTATGCAACACAACCAAACAAAGAAGAACTGGCAATGTTTGCAAGCTTTTCCTTAAAGTTCTCCCTAATCACTTTCCTGCTTTTTCTCTGTTTCTCTCTAAAGGAAATATTATTACAGTGTTGTCAAAACAAAACAAATTGCTGGTTACACCTCTCATCATGGGCAACATGAATGGAGATTTGGCTTGTCTGTACATCAGAATGCTATTTTAAAATAACAATAATAATAATCATAATAATCATTAGTAATTTATTATTTATGCCCCGCCCATCTGGCTGAGTCTCCCCAGCCACTCTGGGTGGCTTCCAATCAAGTGTTAAAAACAATACAGCATCAAATATTAAAAACTTCCCTAAACAGGAAGCGAAGGCTAAAACTCCTTGCTTGGCAGATAGGTATGTAACTGCTTATTTAGTGGCTCTTTGTTTTTTTCCCCTGTTTCCTCCTACTACAACTCAGCTCTGTAAATGTGAAAGTGGTGTTCTATGTAGAGTTCTTCTTTCCATTCACCACTATTAATTATGAACTCAGTCTAATAGCTATGCTAGGGGATGTGACGGATATTCCAGCAAGGAAATTGCCCCTACCCCCTCTTCAAAGTGAGAATTGAAAAATTGCCTACCACTCGAGGGCTTGGTTATAGCGTCTTGTAAATGCGCCAACAGGCAGAATGTGATTTAAGGCATGCATTTTGCAAATCAGCACCTTCATAACGGCACTGTAAGATATGATAGTGAGATAGAAGATGATGCTTGCATTAATGCAGTCTACTGTGAGCAGCATTCTTGAGTGACAGACTTTAGCAGCATCTTTCCTGCAGCTGCTTGTCTCTTGCTCATAAACACAGATGAGTGGAATGAAATATTACACTGCAAGGCACAGTTTTAACAGAACACCCTGAATTGCCAAGAACCACTATTGTGTTAACTTGCTGCTTTATTCCTGTAAAAAACCCACAAAAATGTGAAAGAAAAACAGGCAGTGAAAGGTTACTATTTCTTACGGGAAAATGCTGCAGTACCTTTTAGAAGTTTGCAAAAAATAAATAAATGTGAAAGGACACTGTACAGCATTTTCAAAAACAGTGTGAAAGGACACTGTACAAAACAGGAAATGGGGTTATACAGTATATATTTGTTTAGAAGTACCGTATTTTTCGCTCTATAACATGCACCTGACCATAACACGCACGTAGTTTTTAGAGGAGGAAAATAAGAAATAAATATTCTAAACGAAACAGTGGATGTATGATTTTTGTGGTTCATGCTGTGGCCACAGACATGTGATCTGACGGTGAGTTTGGGGTAGCCCAATGCAAAAATCCTGAGGATCCATGTGGATCCATGCTTTGTAACCACGTTTTTGCGCCATTGCGACCCCATGAAACAGTGGGTGCGTGTGATTTTTGGTGCAGGCTGTAGCCATGGTTATGCTATGTGATCTGATGGTGAATTTGGGGTGACCCAGTGCAAAAATCCTGAGGATCCATGTGGATCCGTGCTTTGTAACCACGTTTTAAGTGGGGAGGGAAGGAAAAGCACTCAAGGGACAAGGAGCACGCGTGGGGTGTGTGGAGAAGGATGCTGCTAATAATGCAGGAGAGGCTCCTCTCTGGCTTTGCTCCTTTAGAACAAGCAGGTTCTGCGTCTCTCCCTCCTCCCTGGCAAGGAAACCATGATAGTAACCACTCTGAGACAAATCAAGAAAAATTGCGACCAACACTCTCCCCCAACAAGCGCAGTGAGGTCAAAACACACATACACAGAGAGAGAGAGAGAACTGGCCCTAAAGTCGCAGGGCGCTGGAAGTCGCAGGGGTGCAGGAAGTCGCAGGGGTGCAGGGAGAGTGAACGGGAAGCAGGAGGAGGAGAAGGAGCCCTCACACACACACAGACACACACAGAGTGTCAATCCTAAAGTCGCAGGGGCGCAGGGAGAGTGAACGGGAAGCAGGAGGAGGAGAAGGAGCCCTCACTCACACACACACAGACACACACACAGAGTGTCAATCCTAAAGTCGCAGGGGCGCAGGGAGAGTGAACGGGAAGCAGGAGGAGGAGAAGGAGCCCTCACTCACACACACACAGACACACACACAGAGTGTCAATCCTAAAGTCGCAGGGGCGCAGGGAGAGTGAACGGGAAGCAGGAGGAGGAGAAGGAGCCCTCACACACACACAGACACACACACAGAGTGTCAATCCTAAAGTCGCAGGGGCGCAGGGAGAGTGAACGGGAAGCAGGAGGAGGAGAACGAGCCCACACACACACACACACACACACACACAGTGTCAATCCTAAAGTCGCAGGGGCGCAGGGAGAGTGAACGGGAAGCAGGAGGAGGAGAAGGAGCCCTCACACACACACAGACACACACACACACACAGAGTGTCAATCCTAAAGTCGCAGGGGCGCAGGGAGAGTGAACGGGAAGCAGGAGGAGGAGAACGAGCCCACCCACCCACCCACCCACCCACCCACACAGTGTCAATCCTAAAGTCGCAGGGGCGCAGGGAGAGTGAACGGGAAGCAGGAGGAGGAGAAGGAGCCCTCACACACACACAGACACACAGTGTCAATCCTAAAGTCGCAGGAGAGCGCAGGGGCGCTGGGAGAGTGAACGGGAAGCAGGAGGAGGAGAACGATAGCTCAAGCACACACACACACAGCCCCTACAGTGGCTAATCCAAAATCGGACAGCAAAAAACTGCAGGCAGGGACAGAGAGCACAGGATTGTTTTAAAGCAGCCAACCCCGCTCTGCTTCTCTCCCTCCTCCCGGCTAGGCTGGCTGAAAAGCTTTGCTGCTACTTAGCGAGCTCAGTGGGGAGGAGAGAGGGACATAGAGGATGAGGTTGTTTTAAAGCAGCCGACCCCGCTCTGCTTCTCTCCCTCCTCCCCGGCTCCGCTAGCTGACAGGAGCTGCTTACACCCGCTTTGCTGTTTCAAAGCAAGCCACGGACTGCTCACAACTGCAGCAGATTCCCCGCCATCTGTAGGCATTCGCTCCATAACACGCACAGACATTTCCCCTTACTTTCTAGGAGGAAAAATCTGCGTGTTATGGAACGAAATTTACGGTAGCTCTTTGCCCTTTAAACTTGTAGCTATGGTTGGTTGTTCTCCCCTTGTCCCCATTATAAGCCTTCCTAATGAAGTTATTTAAAGGACGTTTGTTCTCTGTTTTGATTCAAACTCTGCTAAAATGAATGGACTGATACAAGAACTTTGCTATGTACCAGTGTTTTTCTGCCTTTCTTCAGTAAGTGGTGGTGGGGGCAAACATGAAAAACATTACATTAAGAGTATGCGAGTGCAGAAAATGTCAGTGAACAGGCACTTGTGCTTGTGATATTCATCTTGGGAAGAAAAATGTTGTGTTAGAATTGGCACTGCACTTTTGCTGTAGTTTCCACTAGCTTTCAGTGGCAGTTGTGCAAGAGAATATTATCACAAGTGATGCCATGTGCATACCTGTCTTTTAAATTTTGTTTGTCTTCAGGTTATGAACAAATCCTTAATAAGCAAGTTCTATTATTATTTTATTGTTATAATTATTAGCTGTTTTCAAGCATTTCAGTGAGGTTTCATATTAATAGCACTGTAGATGTATAAGAAGCAACACGTTATTGGAGAAGTGGCAGAATAAAGTTGGAGCTATCTGAGGAGGGGCATGAACCTTCTGTACATACTGTGTCAATGGTAGATTTTCTGGTTTCTTACATGAAACTGGCACATAGTTTTCTTTCTAGTAGTATACATGAGTATAGGGCACAAGCTAAGTGGAGCCTCTGTGTTCAGAGGCGGTATAGCACTAAATACCAGTTGCTAGGACAAAAATCAGGGAGATCTTTTGTCTTCTTGCCCTGCTTTGTCGGCTTTCCAAGAGACATCTTATAGGCTGCTGTTAGATCCAGCAGAACTCTAAGGAGGGGTGGGTCTGAAAATGGTATATACCTTTTGCTTGAGCCTAAGTAGTTCTTTGTGCCCTGGCTATTGTCTGCTAGTGAGTTTGAAAAATGAATTAGGGGCTTAACTTACAATAAACTTTCATTTGAACAAGGGTTTCATCTGGGATTTCTATATTCTTGAATGTTTAATGACCTATTGTCTAGGTCTAAATTGTTGCAGCATCTCTAGCTATACCCTGTAATCATTTCAGGACTGCGGATAGTTCCTTTGGTACCAATATAATTTGTAGGAGGGTTTATGCATTATGAAGAGAGAGATGCTTTTATAGCAGGTGGATATTTTAAAGTTGTCCAAGTTTATTTAGTTGTTTAATAATGAATAAGAGGCAAGATTTCATGGGAAATTGTCAAAGGGGGCACACAAATGTAGTTTAAACATTATAAGATATATGCTGCTTATTGATTTATGTGCTCTATTTAAATGAAAGTGAGCTTCATTCTTGTATACAGGAAAAATCTCAAATTATTGTTAATTCTCATCCATATGCAAGAATAAAACAATGTAATATATTCTTTCTCTCTCCTTCCTCTCTCCAACCAGGCCCGATACAAGCAGAGTCTTGATCCTACAGTGGATGAAGTTAAAAAGCTATGCACCTCATTGCGTCGAAATGCCAAGGAAGAGAGAGTTCTCTTCCACTACAATGGGCATGGTGTCCCCAGACCAACAGTAAATGGAGAAATATGGGTCTTCAACAAGGTACACGATTTGCAGATGGAGTTAAATCATGGTCCCTTTCATGTCAAATTTGCTCAACACTTACCAATAAAAGCGTTATTGCTAATGTTTGATTTTAGAGCTTCAGTTTGTTCACACCTTTATGTACCCCCACATTAAGTTGTTATGTACTTCTTGTAACTCCTTTTTTTGAAAGGGTACCTGCAGTCCTTCTGGAGGAGCTCTCTCTGCATTTGTGTGTGCACATAAAGAGAGCTAGATTACAGAGATAATAATGATGCTTGCTAAGATACATAATTAATGTGCATGTCCAAATTTCCTCCTGAAGAGGATTCCAGAAATTGCTCTTCAAATTCCATAAGCTAATAAAACACTGTTACACAGTGCCAGCAATGGGCATGGTACCTTACCTTCTAAGGAAAATACCCCCGCCCCAACACTGAACAAGTCTTCAGTGGCATACCTTTTAATGCACTTGGCTTTGGTCATTATGATCTTGCAGTGTATGCTATAAATGTATGAAACATGAAATGCATCGCCAGGATTTTCAGCTTGCCTTTGTGGTGTTGGAAGCCGTAACCCACTTTGCATTCAGAATCCTTATTAGCCTTACTCCAGACAGCAAATCTGCCACAAGAGCTTGTACTAGACATCAAGATGTCTTCTCACTTGCATGGGGATGAGAAGTGGGTGATAGGTTATGGTGATTGATTACGAGTTGCACTTACCCAAATGTGTTTTGCCTTTTAAGTAACACATTTACTACCTCCAACAGGTGACTGATAGTGAAACAGAGACTTTTATTCAGCAGTTTATTTACCGCCTTGGGGTTGCTCCTAACTGTGTTTTATAGCTGGTTCCATATAGCTGAGGGAGAGTTGCTCTTGGATGTTTATATGGTCAGTTCAGTTTCAATTTTTTTGTTTTATTGTTCCAAGTACAAAAATGTAGTTGTTCAGTTTGCAGTGCATTTTTGCAAAAAGTTACCATTTCAGCCCTGTGTGGAGGAGAGGACTTAGGTTCTTTCATTCCTTCTATGGAGTAGCCTCAAGGACTTATGTCATCGTTTACTAATGTTGCTGGCTAGTAATTTGGCAGCAAACGGATCATGTGTTTTTCATGCAAAATGTCCCCATGTTCAATTCGAGTCAATTCCAGTTAAAAAGGTCCAGTAAAATAGGTGGTAGTGAATTGCCACTGTCTGCTGAAGGAAGACTATACTGGAGCATATTACCTGGTATAAGGCAACTTCCTTCCTAATAGAGCTCAGAACTCAATTAACATTCATCCCAACACAACACCAAATATTTAATCTAGATCTGGTGTTTAAAAACAATAAAAAGAGATCTTAATGAGTTCTGAACGGTAAATAAGATAGAAATAATGTGATGCTGAATGTGCTACAAGAATGAGGGAAATAAATTACTGATGAATGAAATTTGGATGTTGTGCCAACAGCGTTATTAAATATTTATTTATTGTGCCTTTGCCAGCTATCTTGCCTTATCAGCTGGGGTAATCTGATGAAGACTCCACTGTCTATTATTAGGAGATGTCTTAAAGATTTGTAGCCCAGGTTACGAAGGAGGACTGGATTTGCATAGGTGGAATGTGAAACATGATATATTTGCCTATCAGAAGGGGAAGTGTGCTTTCTTTCTAACAAAAAAAAAAGCAAGACAAGGGAGGGAGGAAATGCTCTTGCCCTCTGCTTCCAAACAGCTATGTTCTGTACAGCTTGAAGTTTCAAAGATTCTAATGCAGAGTAAATGCCACTGTTTTGTTTTAAGACGAATTCTAAAAAATATAACTTCTCCCAGTGGTCCTCTTAGGTAGTGCATTAAAATCCAGTGACTGCACATTCACTAGCAATTGGATCAACCTACTACGGAGTGTCCCTGAGATGCCCTTGGTGGTCGAGATATAGTTGTGACCTTTTTTTTTAGCTGTAGAATTGTTGCTTCTGATCAGAGGCTCTGCAAATTATCTCTTTGCCCTTCAGTGGAAGACCTGTGAGTTTTCAGTGAGTCTGTGCAAGTCTAAGCACCCATCATTTTCTAGTAGTGCTATATTTATAAGAGATTAAGGATAATATATTCTGATACATAGATTAAAAAGGATAAACCCTTCAGGAAGTATTATTTCTGTCTGATTTGTTTCAGCCAAAAAGCCAGATCTCAGTTGTTTTGTTTAACTAAGCAGACTCTATTTTCCACAGGGATCCAAGTGAAAAAGGACTGTGTGGCATAGTTTGAATAAGTCACTTTAAAAAAGTTAATCATTAAATTGAGTTGATCTTTTTTTTAAAAAAAAGTGTGTGTGTTGGTGTCTCTCTCTGTATGCGTACACACACACACACACACACACACACACACACACACACACTTCACTCTTTTCTACCATGCATCCCCCTTAACTTGATTTTTTTTATTCCTCTTGTCATGTTTTGCATAATGTGGTGGCTAGCTTAATTTTTCAGGACTGCCTTATAAAGCAAGCCTAGTTTTTGGATGTTTAATCTAGTCTGACAGATAAAGAGGAACTTAATAAATAAATAATTTGCAGTGCATCTATGTTCACTTAGTTGGAATGAGAACTTGCTTTTCATCCTCTGTATATTTCAGCATGAGAAAGAGAGACAATTGCAATGTGTTCCTTCTCCTCTTCTGCCCCCAGATTATATTGCTTTGAGATGGGGCATTTAGGGATCAAAGGTACTGTTTGTCTTCAAGGACTTCACTTTGGTACAGTACTTTCAGCACATGTAGGAGGAGAGAGCACCTCAAAAGGATTTGGAGAACATTTATTGGTACATTCTTCTCCTTCCATTCACCTCCTGCTGCAACAAGACCAATGTTCCACTGCAGTATGATAAAATGATTTCCCACTCTTTTGAAGACTTGCAGTGCTCTAAATTTGCTTTGCAACTTGGCAGACAAAGGAAAGCAGCTAATGAGATGCTAATGGATTACACAGAAAAAGAAAATTGACATTCTCCCAGCCCCCTCCGCTGCTTTCTTTTATATTTTATGATTCCATTAAAATCAGAATTTTTGACCGTAAAGTCAAGAAACCCTCAAAGTTGTTATTTTGGCTTTACAGTATTTCAGGTACATGCCAGTGATTTGTATATTAAAGAAAAATGATGCACTGTACTGCCGGGGGGGACGGGGGGACGATCAGAAATATTAATGGTTGCTCTTTTCCCTGGTTGCTTTTTTTGTAATCTTTGTTAATCACTCAGAAGTAGCCAAGCAATTCTTCAGTACCACAGGTGCACAGAATTTGCAAATTAAGTTAAACTGTAAGGCAGAAATCTGTTTTATTACCATGTAAGTAACTGGAAGCTGTTCCATGTTTTCTGATAGGTTCAGCAACTTCATAGGTTATACAGTAATTTGGTTAAAAGCAGTGGTGATTCATTTACTTGCCAGAGGTCTCAGCTCTATCTTTGTGCTTAGTTTTCAAGGCAACCATAAGTTTGCAAAATTGATGACAATTCAGTGAGTCTTCTGAGATAAGATGTCTCTCGTTCATGATTCAGGAAACCATGCATTTTCCGTACAAGGATGTGAATTTATTTTGCTTAGTACAAATCTGCATAGGGACATACCCAGTATAAACAGCTAGTAATAATTAACATATATTATTTTCACACACTGTGTTTGGTAGAATTTCACCTAACATTACAACATGTTCAGCTTATTTCTCAAGTTGTTCCTGGCTCTTTTTATGACCACAATCTCTGATACATGCATTATGATAATACATAGTAAGTGACAAGTGAGCAGAATTCAGATTAAATTTGAGAACATTTTCACACTGGATGAACTCTTGTATTACTTTATGGGATGGTAAATGATGATTCCATAGCATCATTTATTTCCATTATATTTGGAATTGTTTCTTAACCCTGAAAACAGAAGTAGCTTGTTTAATCCTTCTGAGTATTGTAGGCAAAGGCTGCTGTTCACTGTGCAGTATAATATATGTGGTTTATTTGTTTGTTTATTTTGCAGAACTATACGCAGTACATCCCTTTATCCATATATGATCTACAGACATGGATGGGCAGTCCCTCTATCTTCGTGTATGATTGCTCAAACGCTGGCCTTATTGTCAAATCTTTCAAACAGTTTGCCCTGCAGAGGGAGCAGGAGCTGGAGGTGAGATTGTGGGAATGTGAAATTGTGAAAGAGGGCATTATTCTTTTAGACTTTAATAGGATCAAGTGGGGGAAGGACCATGGGATCACGGCTAGTGAGAGCAGATCATACTGTGCTTGATGGAAAGATACGTCTAGCAACAAACGTGTAGGAGACTGAGCTGAAAAAAGAAACTAATTTGGGAAGAGTCTTGCAGCTTTCATTTAGTTCTGATTCTGTTTGCTTTCCAACAGTATAACCATGTCCATTAATAGAACTGTTAATTAAATGATAACATTAATAGAATCTGCTTATGCCCTAATGGTTTTTACAGGGGAGATGAATGCAAGGTTGAAGTAGGTCTATATATCTCTTACACATTGCGTACTTAGATCTGCATAGAGATCTATTACAGTATCCTTACTCTTGCAACCAAATGTGCAACCGCTAAACTAAATGCTTGAAAGAGTTACAAAGAAGGAACTTGCTGTTGTTGCCATTAATTTTGCAGTGTGAAGAAGTGCCCTGGTGTTAATAAAAGGCGACATTTTGTGGTTTTAGTATTAAATTTATTGTGGCAAATGTGAATAGCAGAAGATGAAGCCATTAAATTTAAGAAGCTTTCACTTATGCCTTTGACACTGAATTTGGCTGAATATTTTCTCTGTACTTTGTAACTGCCAGAGATGCCTTATTAGAAACCAATTTCTTATTTTTATGTTGCTAACTCCTTTCCATCTTTTAAACTCTCACTTTGAATGCTAGAAGCTGAGCCAAACAGATCTAAATAGGATTCTATCAAGGTTGTCCATGATTCTAATATTTTACTGAAACAAAACTACATTTTTTTCCAAAGCCAGTCCTTGCTAAATGTTTATTTATTGACTTCCTTGCCTTTAATTTCTACCTAATAATGGCTGTTGTCTCCCCATAGAATTTGTAGACATAGTGTAACAGCACTTAATGATTCGAGTGCTCCAGTCCATCACAATTTATCTATAATCTTCTTATCTGTTGGAGTTTTCCTTCTCAAATCCTTTTATAATTTAAAATACACAAAAATCTTAGAGATGTGCAGTGACTCAGGTACTTTAATAACCTCTTTGGTCTCTTGTAGAGCATTACTGTAAATCAGGGGTGGGCAACCTTCACTCTGTGGGCCAAATTTGGCCTGCCAGGTTGTTTTGAGAAAGCCATGCCCACCTGTCCATCTATGAGGCAGGTAAGGGCAGGATTTGGCCAAAAGGGGCTTTGGTTGATCAGCCACTGTAACTAGGGAAATGTGTGCGGCCTTTGATGCTGACCTACTGTAAAGCTGGGAACAAATCCTTTCTACGGTGAGGGATAAACAATATCTATACATTGCCTGATGAAAAACATTTTAATATTAATCCACTGGTTTTTGTAAGTTGCTTTGTTTATGGAAAACCTTTGCTCTCTGGCTGCTAATCCAACATTTCCCTCTTGGTGCCTGTTTAGATTGCAATAACCTTCAGCCTTTGCATGCCAAGTATTGCTGTGGATTAACTGGCTAAGAAATGTGCTTTTCAATTTCAGAGTATACTGTTTATAAGAAATGTTACATATCCTGTTAAAAATGCACACTGCAATTTTTAAAAGTGGATCACGGATTGCACTTTTTAAAAAAATGCCGAATGTGCAACAATGTAAAAGTGCACTGTAGGTTTCATAATTAACTTAGATTTTGATCTTGGTACTTTATTTTTAATTAAAAAGAAGAAATGCCTGTCTGTCTCCGCCTCCCTCCCACCTCCCATTAGGCTTAATATTATTGGCTATTGTTCAGATGGTTGCTTGTATAAATAACGGATATTAAAAAGACAAAACATGTCCATGGTTATCACTTGTAAATATTTATTTTGGTAAATATAAATACTTCTAATTTAGGTGAAGGCAGCCCATGCATTGTGGAGACTGGAGGCTATAAGCTGCATTTATTCAGTGCTGTTTGAAATTTATTTTCTGTGTTCCTTTAAAAAGGGATTGACCTACTGGATTATCAACTCATGGAGTAATTTGACATACTTTTTAAAATTTTGGCCTGTGATAGTAGTAGGGATTAAGGGATTGCCAGATGGTGTGTTGAACTGGCAGTTCAGAAATAGTTGTATAAATGGTGTTTAAAAAATATGAAATAGTAGCAATGTGAAGCTTATGATATAGATTGTCCTGTTGCTTCTAACAGTCATTAATCAATGAGCTAAACTGCCCGGGAGGCCTCTTCAGTTCAGGATTCTTCTATTCATTTTAGATGTCTTCATAAGTATAGGCCAGTGTTTTCCAAACTTGTGATAGTTTAAGGCTCGCCCCCCTCCCCATGTAAATGGAATATGAATTTCACTCACATATTAGCTATCGACTACACGTATGTAGACCTTTCTCTCTGTTGAGAACTACATCATCTGCTATGATTCATAGGAAACAATTTTTGCATTATGGGTTTGAATTCATACCACAAGCATGTTCCTGTCAGCATTATGAAAAGAAGCTGCTTCCTCTGTGGGTGCAGGTTGGGAATGTTTGCTCTTGTCTTTAAATCTCAATGGGAAGGCTGCAATTAGGAGGAATTCTTCCTCAGCATGAATAGTGCTCCTGAGGGACAAGAAGATGAAGGGCAGAAATGCCAGTTCAGTGTTCTGAAAATGTTAAATGCCAATTCAGCTATTTTTGTACTGTTTTGTTAAACCAAAGATGAGAACATCTTCCTTGTTACTCCACTTCTAATCACCCAGAAGGGAAGACTTCACTTTTATAAAATGCCTTGTTGACTTGACAGAATCCCAGTGGACAATCCAAAGTTCTGTGTTAAGATTCTAGCAATGTTCTGACCCCAAACAAAAGATGCAATGTGCCACTCAGTGGTGTGCAAACAGTACAGGCGTCTTTTTTCTTTTCCTTTTCAAGTTAATAGGACAGTAGGGCAGTGTTGCAAGAGACCAATACCTCAGATATATTTCTTCTGTCTCCGGTGATGAAATGAGCCATTGAAACAGGCAGCCAGTACCAGTTCTTGAGTGGGAAATGGTTCTGAAATTTTCTGACACCAGCAATCTATTCCTCCCCTAATAAGTAGCCTCTTGGGAGGGGAGGATGAGTAAATGAGTGATATGAGAAAGAGAAGAGAAAGAGAGCGAGTGTGTCAGTCCATATGAGAGAGAAAAGTGACCCCTGTGACCCCTGAAGGAGTATCCTGAGAAACTGTGTCCGTCCACAGAAAAGGGTCCCCAGCCCTTCATTAAGATTTTGTGTGGATTTACCCTGTTGAACAGGGACAGTCACCATGGTGGCATCCAGGCACTGTTGGACTGCATTTACTATCACCCCTGAACATTGGCCATGCTGTTCCCGGGTCAGATCTCAAACCCAAAAGAAATGGGACCATTTCATTCCAGCTGGAAATCATACCCAAAATCCTATTAGGGGGGAACTTTATGGTATCCTTGCTTATAAGCAATATATTCTACCATCAGAAGCAAGGTCAGAGACTGCTTAATTACTTCGTATTTCCATGATTAATTTATATACCATGATGTTTGACATAGGTCGCTCATGAAACTTTGGAATTCAGATTCCAAATATTTCCAATAATCCTTTTGTCCAAGCCCTCTTGAGGTTTGGCCAATGTGCCTTGCCACCCTTGGATGGGTTGCAATTAAGAGAGAGACTATCTTTGGAATGCCTGCTCTAGGGAAGCCCACCTGGCACTTGCATCGATGTCTTTTAGGCAGGCATAGGCAAACTCGGCCCTCCAGATGTTTTTGGGACTACAACTCCCATCATCCCTAGCTAACAGGACCAGTGGTCAGGGATGATGGGAGTTGTAGTCCCAAAAAAACATTGGGAGGGCTGAGTTTGCCTATGCCTGCTTTTAGGCTTGAAGGATTGCTCATTTTGGGAACGTAATTGAATTGCTGCTGCTGTGTTTTTTTTTGTATGTTATTTTAATATTTTCAATATTGTACTTTTATTTTATCTGATTTTTTTTACTGCCCTGGTAACTGAAAATGACTGTTGAAGCTGTGTGGTCCAATTAATAATAAAAGCAGCAGTCTCTGTTGTTAAACGTTTGTCTTGACCTCTTCCTCAGACTTATCTTGGCCATTTGAAAACCAGATTGAACTTTAGATATATGGTCTGTTCATGCTGACTCTTAGCAGTGAACACTGGCAGTTTCAGGGAATATCAGTGTTGTCTCTCAAGGCTTGTCCAGACGCATGTATAAATGCATGACTCCGGGAAAGACTCTGAATCCAAGGCAGGTGCTGGGGCAGTTCAGACAATAAATAGTGCATGTGTTCCAGTCATTTGGCTGCACTTATTGAGGACTAAAGCCACCCTGTTATAGCTCTCAATTATCTAATTAACTAGCTTCATTGAGTTCAGAGTGTGTCTGTAAACACACCATAATTCTGGATAGCTAAATGAGCTGCTCAAGTGCACTGTTGGAACAAAAGGCTGCTTAATCTTCCTGTGTCATCCCACATAATTGCGTATATCTGAAATGCCTTATTACATGTCAAGAGAAGCTGGAAAGAGGGTGGGGTGGAGAATTTGTGCATATCATAGGACTTTGCTCGGGCTGTATATAAATTAATAGTGACATATGAGCCTTAGGTTCTTAGTCTCCCCACATCCTTATTTTCATGTCCTTTTTTTCAGTCTCTAGGGTATTTTATGTTAGAGCAGTAGAATTTCTTGTGTTTATTCCTTCTCTGTGTGGGAATTAAATGCTACTGTGGGAGTGCTTGTTCCTTTAGCCAGAAGTACGGTACATGACTAACTGCTTCTGATCAGAACTAATGAGATCAAATTTGCAGTTTTGATTTGTTTTCCGTCTTCAGCACTGATGAATCTTTGAAGTTACAGTCCAGAGCACTGTTACGGTATATGTCAGTGGTGTGTGGAATTTTCCTAATCTATCATCTTCTGGAAAGAAGAAATTGTTCTCCTTTACCTTTGTTAGTACATTGACGTAGAAGATCAGGATGCTGTCGGTTCTG